ATAGACAGAATCTTGCCAACCTAAATCTATACTACAGCAACTAGCGGATATACCCTGGGAGATTCTAGGGAGTGGCTATCCTGATTCTCTTACTCTTCTCATCCTCCCCCCACAGACTGTGTTGTCTTTTGTCTCATTCCCCCTGCTGGAATGCAGCTCCTCCTTCTTGATAGCCTTGATCTCCCACATCACTCTCCTCCTCATAGATACATTCCCTCACACATACAGTATTTTGCCAGGTTCTACGCCTTCCTCCATAGATGCTTTCAGTCAGTTGTAGTGGGGAACAGAGGTCAGTTTGATGGCTCTTCAATTATGGGGTACCACAGGATTCCCCCCCCCAGCTCTTTAATATCTGTATGAAATCATTGTGAGAGGTTATCCAACAGTTTGGGATATGGTGTCATTAGTGTGCTAATGATACCAAATATATATTGCTACCCTGGGTTGTGGGGAAGATTCTGTTGATGTTTTTGTCCAGGCTGTGAGAGTCTGGATGGGAGAGAACAGTTCAAATTTAACCCAAGGAAGATGGAGTTGCCATTCGTACATTGGGGTTCTCCTTTGGTGCCAAGTGTTAGTTCTTCTGGACTTGTGGCTTCTGCTTCAACACCAGGTAGAGGCTGTAGCTGGGGAAGCTTTTGACCAGCTTTGGCTGGTACACCAATTGTGTTTTTACCTGGTGCAGGCAGACCTAGTGACAGTAACTAATATTCTCAGAGACTATTGCAACGTGCTTTCCATGGGGCTGCCTTTAAATACTATCCAGAAATTACATTTAATCCAGGGTGAGGCACCCTGTGTCTTGACTGGCTCCCAATTTGGGAGCATACTGCACCTATACTGCGGCTCTGCATTGGTTACAGTATAACTGAAATTGTTTGGGTTAACCTATAAAGCCGTTTATGAATCGACATCTGAGGGCCAATAGGACTGCTAATTTATTTCAAAGTTGAATAAAAGGTACTGTGTTTCAAATTTTAAATCTAGAAACTATTAAAACAAGATTACATCAAGACTGTCTCTAGCACACTATGATGCTTGTGGTCTCCTAGGAAAACAAAGAGCAATAAGTGTGAATGTAAATGTGATAGCCATCAGCTTCATTAGCACCTGAATGCTATTTTTCCAGCTGTATTTTTCAACAGATATAGAAAAAAGAGGAAACAGTCAATAATATTTCAGAATGTTCAGTCATCAGAAGCAGATTAATTAAAAGAGGAAGTGCACTATTAATCCTACCATGCTGAAAAGGAAATAAAAAAGGATAAAATGTGCAAGTAGACAATTTTTAATTAAAAGTACAAAATCTCTGATAAGTCTCTGTTACCTGCACTTGTAAATAAACACTACAATTGTATTTAAAACATAATAATCAGATCTCAAAAAAACTGAAGGGACAACATTAAATGTTAGAATGCCATGATTTTGGATTATGTATTAAAAGTGAATGAATAAGCATTGTAGCTGCGTAGAAAAGCTTGACCTGTAGGTGGTAGTATTTCCCCAGTCTCTTATTCTTGGTTGATAGGCAGCACTACATTTTCCTACTTTTGATTGGCTACATATTTTATATTTGATTTTAAGTTTACATTTCACTGTTGGTATACATTAATTCAGTACAGAACTCTTCATTTCTTTCCTAGAAGGAAGATCTGAGGATTGCTGAGTGTACCTCCTGTCCCTTCTATTCCTAATAAGTCAGGAATCCCCATACCCCTGTGCCCACTGTCAAAAAGCAGTTGCATTACAGCAAGACATTGTAAGGGAAGGCACAAAAGAATAATACAGCTGCCCTCAAAGTTCTGAATCAGAAATCAAAAGCCATCCATTTATCTTCCCTTTGCAATTGGCCTCATTTTTTTTTTGTGGTTTTGCCTTAGTAATCCTGTCTTTCCCATAGCTTCATCATCACAATCTGTAAAATGGAAACAAGGCGACAAGTCATAAACCTGAGACAGATGATGATGATGATGATGATGATGATGATTTTGATGATTTGGATTTCTCCCCCGCCCATCTCCCCCACAATAGGGGACTCTGGGCGTCCATATAAACATGGACATTCTATTTATTCCCCAGAATTAGAAGATGAAGAAGAGGAGGAAGAAGAAGAGTTGGAGGAAGAAGAGCCCAAAAGAGATGCAGATGATATACAAGAAAAGAAGGAAGCTGAGAAAACTGGGTCTGAAGGAATGAAAGAGGTGGTAAACCAAGAGGGAGAAGAGGTGCTTTCATCTGAGAATGGGGAGATGCAACAGATGGAGGGAAGAGAAGATCAAGAAGAAACTGAGAAGAAAGGAGAGACACAGGAAGAATCTGGGAAAGAATCTCAGGAAAAAGAGGAATCTGACCCAGAAAAACTGAGTGAGGAAACTGAAGGATAAGACTGGTGAAAGTTGCTCTCAGGGGCTCTTGGTTTGTAATCCAGGAACTGTTTTTTGTGGTAATCCATTCTGCCTCACAATATTTTCTCCTCAAGTTACTGCTTGTGCTGTTCAGGCTACTAAATAAAACAAAAATAAAATAAATATTAAATATTTTTATAAAGAGGTTCCAAGAATATAGGAAATATAGTTCCATGTAAGACTCTTTAAAAAGTCTAGTTAAGTCAAATAAAAGGAAATAATTCTGAGCATATTTCATTATATATTTTCATATTGCTTTTCACTAAATAGCTCAACCAATTAAAATTAGTTGTAACTGCAAGACAGCTAACTGATTGAAGGATTTCTCAAATCAGTTCACACTGTAATCTGAATTTAGGCAAAAGACAGCAAGCATCTGTAGAATCAAATCTTTCAATATTAATAGGGGGATATTAGTAATTTTGAATATTAAGTTGCACAAGAGGGTCATGTTGTACTAAGATTTTACACAGATGTTGGAATCTTTTCCTTCTGCAAAAGCTGAACCATATATTCAATACTTATCCATGTGGAAGAGAAATTACTGAGAAATATATACATTTGTGAATGCATGCATGCATGCATGCAATAAAAAAAAGCTATTCAGAACCTAACAATAATAGACATCTGGATATGAAAATGCTGCTGGTCAGTAAGATAATTCCTTGGCATGAATGGGACAATTGTATTTTTCTGGGCATTCATACATAAGAAATTCAGGAAAGGGGTGAGTTGTCCCAATCAAACTATTGCTGGGAATCATCGTAGAAGTGGAACTTTTTCCAGGTTAAGATAACCTAGAACATGACATTTAAACATATCCTACATGCAAACTTTCAAAAATCCTGCCACACCCGCAACCTCCCTGAGTATGATGGTTTAGGCTTTGAGAGTTGGTTAAGTCCACTGAAGAGATAAGTTCCAGAATCTGGCATTGGTCTATATTTAGGCCTGCGCAACATATGGTCCACAGGCTGCATGCGATCTACCAAGTAGCCTTGTGCAGTCCATGGGCAAGTTTTAAAAAGTCACATTTACCACCACTGCCCTGCTGAGCACCTCAGGCCTCACTGACACCACCAGCTCCATCACTTCTGCTGCTCCACTAGCTGCCAAACAGCTGATCATCGTGCTAGCTATTCCTTTGCAGCCTACAATTATTTTTAATTTTTCAGTATGGCCCCTTCCCTTCTACAAATTGGGCAGGCTTGGTCTGAACATTAGGCATCCCTTCCTTGAGTGCTGTTCAGAGGTGTGTAGTTTTTAATTTTCAGAATTTCGGCAACAGCCATGCTGGCCGGCCACTTCTGGGAGCTGCAAGCCATGCATCAGGAGAGCATTCAAGCCCAGAAGGCTGGTCTATAGAAAATAGGCATTCTGTTTAATTTGATTGCTCCAGTAACAGTCCAACATTCTCAGAAGTCCCTCACTGAAGTTAAGGGATTCCCAAATAAGTGGGTAGAGGGTTTAGAAAAGCACAGGGCCTTCTATACATTGCTAAGCTGCAATTCCCAGCATCTCTCATTACCATTTGTTGGCTGAGGTTTTGGGGGTTTGTCTTTCAGGAAAATCTGAAGAACCACAGGTTCCACATGCGCGATATACAGTATTGGGAGAGAATGCAGGACCAGTTAGCCACTAGATAACTTGTGTAAACATTTTCCTACATATGAAGTATCTAATCTGTTTTCCATCCTTGCAAATCAAGTCATGCAAGTGAGACTTTGTTACATTTAGCAGGCAAAAACCAGCAAGGCAGAGGTGAGTTTTCTTAAGATGGTAATGGGGCCATGTGGCCTTGAGCAATATAGTCCAAAACCTCTGAAGGAAATCTTACGATGGGGGAGAACTTGTATAGTGTTAGATTAAAAAAAAAATGTGTCTCGCTTCCAAACATCCCTTCATCTCCCATCCTGACAATGAGCGTGCTTACTCCCCGTTGGGCTGTTTGAGGACCCCGTTGGGTGTGTATTCCTACATTTTCGTTTTTCACTTCCTTTTGCAAACGTTGGGAGTTCCCCGCACCTTTTTTCCTCGTTCCTTAGTGGCCCTCGTCACCAACTATCTGGCGGCTTTCCCTAGCAGACTTCGCTCTTTGGCGTGGGGCTTAATTTTCACCTGAAGGAAAAACGCTCTTGTTCCTCGTTGGCCTTCCCCTAGAGCTGAAAAATCCCTTCCCTCCGCCCACACTTTTTTGTTTACCCCTCTCAAAAACTGCACTAGAATAAATAAAACGCGGAGCTGGGCTTGAAGCAGCCTTGCTGCCCGGGGTGGGGGGTGGGAAGAGCAGCTGAGCAGCACCGGCCTCGCGCACAGGGCCAGCCCGGAGTTTCGCTTTCCCGTCTCTGTTGTACCAGGCAGGGACTGGGGGGCGTGGCTCCTCCGCTTCAGCTCCCATCTGGGCTTATAAAAAGCGGGTGCGGGCGCGCTCCCTCCGCCTGAACGCAAACGAGCCCGTCGGTGGTTTTGCAGCTGCGAAAGTCCCTGGTTCCAGTACCTCGCCCCGTCCGCTCGGTGGCGTTGCCATGGTGAGTTTGGGTGGTATCAATTCTGTTACCGCCGGAGGATGCCGCCTCCCACAGGCATTGGTTATGGGAAGAATTATTTGATGGGGTCGGACGGATTGCCATTTGTTGTTTATACTGACTAAAGACTTCATCTGTTGAACCTGGGCATGAAGAGCGCAGGACGTTCCTGGCTCCGTGAGCCTAGCAAAGGAGCCGTCCTCGCCTGAAACCACAGCTTGTGCGACAAAGTGCAAGCAGCCTTCGGTGGCTGTGGAGAGTTGTAAGCTGGAAGGGCGGCGGGAGGTTTGAGATCTGCTCTGGTGGGTAGCAGCAAGGGAGGGCCTCGATGTTCCTCCGGTCCTGTTCAGGCCATGGAAGCTGCCTCTGGATCTGGATGGTTCTTCCCCTCGGAGAGAAGTGGAATAGGGAGTCCATTCTCCACGATGGAATATGTACCTGATGGCTTTTGGTGTGGTGGCACTCAAACAGGGACAGCTGTTTATCAGTTTCTTGCTTGGAGAAGATAGAAAATAGGAACTATAACTTGATCCTAATTTAAAGGGAAGGAAACAGGGAGAGAGTAACTTGAGGGCAGGTGTGAGTCTAGGAAGAAACTGAAATCCTAAATTAGGAGATCTGTGATCAAGCCTCACTTTTACTTCCTCTGTGTTCTGGATGATGTGGTTTATATGCAATTTGTCTGTTTGCAAGAGAAAACATTTCTATCTAGGATGAGATATGTATACACTTTTGGTAGGGTTTGAGTATTGCAAAGTTACATACAAAAATGGGGCCTTGATTTGGCAGAGGGATTCAGTAACCCCAGAGTAAATCAACTTCTAACAGAGGAACTTGGATTGATGATCAACATGTTTCATCAACGTCACAGAAAGTTGATTTATCAACCAGAAGTGCTGTGAAATCTGGAGTTTGTGTACTCCACACAAGCATTATCCAACCTGGGTCCTGGTGGGTGGACTTCAGTTCCCCAAATTCTCAAAAATGGCACTGCTGGCTGGACATTTTTGAAGTCCACATTTCCAGAACATATTCAAGTCAACTTACATTGATGGAAGATTTTTTTATTTTATGAGAGGAAATATCCTTTAAAAAAAATGCATGGGAATTTACATTGAATATTGTGTGTGGGTGTGTAATTTTGGCAAAAATGCATTCAGCTGATTTTTGAAATATGAGCGTGGGACTGTGTAGACCCTTTTCACCATAACTTTTTTTTTCTTTTTGCACTATCCCTTGTATTTATGGTGACAGTGCCTACTCTATTGGCAACACTGCTCCAATTTCATGATCTGTCATTTATGGCAACTTTTCTCCTTATTCTTCTCCCTTCTTCAGTGGAATTCAGAATATATTATGTATCAAGTCTATACATTTTCTGTAGTCAGACTAAGTGCTGTGCAGAAGAGTTCTGTAACTTATCGTCTCTATATGCACCAAGGGCTTTGAGGTACTTTCAGAGAGTGCTTTGCTTATGTAAGCAACTCTTTAAATGAACTTTACAATTTACACACACACATACACACATTGCCGCACAGATGGAAGTCTCCCAGCACTTCACTTGATGTTGGTTATATGAAGTTTCTTTATTCATTGCTGACACAGATACTGTGTTCTTTTAACAGTAATCTTGGTTTCCTGTTCCACATAAACCAGATAGCAGCTGGGCGAGCAGACAGTTGGTATAAAAGGGGAGGGCCTTTTTCTATAAAGACTTCTCAAGCTCTTAACGTTCCACATGGTTTCATAACATTGCAAGGAAAGTGCTTACTTTCAAAACATAGTTTTTTTAAAAAAGAAAGACAAGCCTGAATACTTTTGATGTTTAGGTTGAGTGTTAACCCTTCACTTTATACTTGTAAAACACTAAATGGCCTTATCATACTTCAGGCAAACAGAAAAAAACTTGGCAAACTTCTTGGTGTCAGAAGCCAAAAAACCTCTTAGGCGAGTCTACCGTTTCTACCTGTAACCTGTCTCTAGTTCCTTTTGTCAGAAAATGAACAAGATCAGATGGCAGACACTAATCTTCTTTTGCAGTTAATATACAGGGCATTTCAGTCTTATACAATGAACACCCAAACAAATGGACTCTGATAGCAAATGATTTAAAATTACCAGTCCTCAGGAGAATCAATTACTTCTGCTTTTGTAATTAGAGCTTTCAGAGAGGTTATTACCCATTTCATGGTGGATAATTCTTTTATTTATTTAAAAAATGCTGAAATGCAAACAACAACATAGGAAAAAATACAATAGTAGTTGTACATTTTAAAAATGCCTACATCTATTATAGTGATTAACATAAAATATAACAAAGGGGGAAAAAGAATAAAAATCCATATAATATCCATTTAGTATCAATATGGGATTATTTCAGTCCTTAAACTTATCATTAAATCTAGGCTATATAGAAGTATATTGTTTCAGCTTCTCATTTTTAGAATATTAAAAGTTTTCAAAACTAACAGACTCACATTCTGAATCCATTACTGAATATCAGTTTCTTTTCATTTATGTAAGATTATCTTTGCTGAGCCCCAGGCTTGGTAGAGCTGAAGTTCCTCATAAAAGAACAAATTCCATATTTTAGGAATATAATTTAACATCACATGTATGTCTTTATTACATTTCTTTTCAAAACTTTGTTAATATATACTATGGTTTGAAATCAAAACAGCTGTTGCTAGACAAGATCAAATTGATAGAGCAATAAGGCAGCTGGCGGTTGCTGTTCCTGCTGCTGCACAATAAGCAGAAGGGAGGAAAAACCCTGTTTCTGGCAGCTGCACAGTAAGGAAAAAACACCTCTGTAAGGGTTCACTGAAAGTTCAGCAGTTGTACGCCACCTCTGGGCAGAGAACTAATATTATAATCAGCTTTAGTAATGAGTGCACAGTAGGGACGTGTGAAGGGAAAAGGTGTGCAGATGCGGTTCGTGAGCTGTGTACAAAGGGTTAACAATGCGCATGAGCAAGGATCAGGGAGTAAATGATGTAAGGGTGCATGTGTGAGGGTCTCTTTAGTATCTGTAAAAAGCATGGGTATAGAGCAGAATGCAACACAAGCGTACCCATGGACTGAGAACGCCACACTCTGCAGGGCTTATCGCTTTGTGGCTGAAGGGTGTACAGTTTATGAATTTGTTTTTTGCTTGTTGTAAGAATGTATAAAGACTTGGTTAACTTGAGAGCTTTTGTGCTCCAGGGCACCTTACTCTGTGCAAAATAAATACTGTATTATCTCTACCGTGGTATGTTTATGAGGCAAAATTGCACGCCAAGCTAGAAACCCCCCTGAGTTCCTGGGACAACAAAATCATACGAGTTTCTTACAAATCTGGCACAAAAATCTGATATCCAGTTTTTAAATTCATTCTTACAGAAGTCCAATAGACACAAAATCTTTTTTGTTCTTTTTTTCATTCTTAAATCAAAAATAGTGTATTTTACATTTCATAAGAACTGGACCTGTTGAGATTCCAATACTTCCTTCCACATTTCAGATATAGAATGATCCTAATCATTCTTCTTTTAAGTTCCATATAAATTTAAATTGCTGGTTTCATCCAAGCACTGTATCTTTTAAGGATCCTCAGATTCTGAAGCTGCTAAAGAATCTGGGCATACTGTTTTGTCAATATGTTTCAACTGTATATTTTGCCAAGCAGATGTTATAGGTAAATCATATTTGGAACACAATCTCTCAAAGTCTTTAAAACAAACCATTATTAATAATCTAATTTAAGGGATTTATCCCTTGTTTGGCCCAGGCATTTCAGTAAAATATCTTCCCCACGATCTTCAGACTGGGATTATTCCACAGTGTCAATTTCTCATGCAGTTCTGGATCAAAACTTAACCAATTATCTGTTAAGAACCAAATATGTCAAGCAGCTTTCAAGAAAAGCTTTCAAGATTTTTTTTAAACAAAAATCCCTGTTTAATATACTTGAACCCTAAAACTTGGCAACATTTCAGGGGGATTACATGCTTGCTCTTTACATAGGCCCAAAGAGGGTAATATTCAGAAAAGTTCTGATTCCACAAAAATATCAATGTCAAAATAAAAGCCCAGTGGTAATCTTGAAAATCTGGTAGGTTAAATCTGGCTTCATAAGAAAACCTCAGTTTGGCCAAATATATTTGAGGGGGGGTTGGCTTGCCATGTGTTTTCTTCTCATTAATTTTTCTGTGTAAAGTATCTAATAGGGATTAACACTGGAATCCCTCTTAAAATATAGATTAGTCTCAGTATGATATTCATTTTAATTACATTAACCTTGCCCAAGAGACTGAATGGAAGTTTTAACCACTGAGTTATGTTTACACTGAAACTGTTTCTGAAGCTGGGTAATTTTAATACATCAGCTATATTAATTACATCTGGCCCCTTGTGGAAGCCAAGCGGTTGAAGGGAAACTCGGAGAATGAAGACTCATGTAGACGTATACTAGGCCGCGTCCCATCAGGACCGAGAGTTGCACTTGTGTTTCTGTATTAGGAGTTATGAGCCACCCAGGTGTGATGATGGAAAGGTATGGCTAGATCACCAAAACCGGTGCTTGTGACAATTAACAGTGCTAATGATGATGATTTAACAGCAGTGTTGACAGTAATACAGCTTTGGTTATTAACACATGATATATGAGTGAGAAAAGAACTATTCAGGATTTCAGATGATAGTTTGTAATTCTTGACGAAGTAAGTTTAATTAGATGTAAGAATTAAGTAGATTATTAAATTTAGTCTATGAGATTATTTTTCAGACTTTCTAGCTAAAATTTGCGGCGTGCTTGGTCTTTCAGAATCGTGCAAGACATTTACGTTGGAGGCTAAATACTAAACACAACTTTAAAAACATTTTAAAAAAACTTTTTGCTGCTTGATGGTTTGGAAATCAAGTGTTATGTACTATGGTTGAGCGGTTGTCCTAAGAATATGTGAAATTCGCTCATGGGGATTGTAGTATGAAGTGGAATGATTATTCCTTAATAATAGATT